CAAAAATCAAAATTTCACCAGTTGTAGTCTTCGGGGTGCTGAGTCGAATGGTCTTGGTCCGAGAAAGCTGAGACGCTCCCTTCCTACTTGAATCCCAATCGAACTCGTGCACTTCCACCGAAACTGGGTGACTGCGCCCTACTAGATGGGGATTTGTATGCAAAATGTCACTAAAAGCGCCAGTTCGTTCTTATAAAAGCACGGATGACCGTGATTGGCCCATATGTTGTAGTCTTTTGGACGCTGAGTCGACTGGTTTTGGTCCGAAAAGGCTGCGATGCAGCGTTCCTCCTTTATTCCCAATCGAACATGGTTGAACAAGCGGTCACGTGCTCCTGGGTGCCCAAATCACCTGGTCACCACACCAGCAGGTGACAACTTTCCACCAAGGTTCAACTTAAGTGACAGGACTGCACCCAAAAAAAGGTCAAAACAGGCTGTAAGTTGTACCCTGCAGGCACAGTGACCAGGTGACTGGTGTACCCAGGAGTTAACTTCCCCTTTAATGTAGAAGAGAAAAGGAAATATGGATACGAGTTAAAGGAGAAGTTAAGGCAAAAATTTAAATTTCACCAGTTGTAGTCTTCGGGGTGCTGAGTCGAATGGTCGTGGTCCGAGGAAGCTGAGACGCTCCCTTCCTACTTGAATCCCAATCAAACTCGCGCACTTCCACCGAAACTGGGTGACTGCGCCCTACTAGATGGGGGTTTGTATGCAAAATGTCCCTAAAAGCGCCATTTCGTTCTTATAAAAGCACGGATGACCGCGATTGGCCCATATGTTGTAGTCTTTTGGACGCTGAGTCGACTGGTTTTGGTCCGAAAAGGCTGCGATGCAGCGTTCGCCCCTAATTCCCAATCGAACATGGTTGAACAAGCGGTCACGTGCTCCTGGGTACACCAGTCACCTGGTCACTGTGCCTGCAGGGTACAACTTACAGCCTGTTTTGACCTTTTTTTGGGTGCAGTCCTGTCACTTAAGTTGAACCTTGGTGGAAAGTAGTCTTTTGGACGCTGAGTCGACTGGTTTTGGTCCGAAAAGGCTGCGATGCAGCGTTCCTCCTTTATTCCCAATCGAACATGGTTGAAGAAGCGGTCACGTGCTCCTGGGTGCCCAAATCACCTGGTCACCACGCCAGCAGGCGACAACTTTCACACCAATGTTCAACTCAAGTGACAGGACTGCACCCAAAAAAGGTCAAACAGGCTAGTAAGTTGTACCCTGCAGGCACGGTGACCAGGTGACTGGCGTACGCAGGAGCACGTGACCGCTTGTTCAACCATGTTCGATTGGGAATAAAGGAGGAACGCTGCATCGCAGCCTTTTCGGACCAAAACCAGTCGACTCAGCGTCCATAAGACTACAACCTATGGGCCAATCGCGGTCGCCCGTGCTTTTATAAGAACGAAATGGCGCTTTTAGTGACATTTTGCATACAAATCCCCATCTAGTAGGGCGCAGTCACCCAGTTTCGGTGGAAGTGCGCGAGTTCGATTGGGATTCAAGTAGGAAGGGAGCGTCTCAGCTTCCTCGGACCACGACCATTCGACTCAGCACCCCGAAGACTACAACTGGTGAAATTTTATTTTTTGCCTTAACTTCCCCTTTAAGAGTAACTCTCCATCACTGTAACATGATACTATATACAGTCAGAAAGTGCAATAACTAGGCACAAAACTGACAGAGTACTGAGACAGTGATGGAGAGTTACTCTTAACTCGTATCCATATTTCCTTTTCTCTTCTACATTTATTTATGGCTCAACATCTGAGTTTCCCCTTTAATGTTTGTAGCTTGTGCCATTATTTTGATAGTTGAGATATCGAGATGGGCAAGTCCAAAGGCAGAAAGACGACCAGGTCCCCTCGACCTCCTCCGTTCAAGATACCGTCTGACGAACATGCCAGTGCCTCAGAGTTGCACTCCAGTTTAATGACACCGGAGTGCGTGATCAACTAGCTCAAGCGCTCGAGAAACTTGATCGCAGGTTGACAGACCTCGAAAAGAGACTCAGCTGTTTGGAAATTGTTGCTCCACGAACAGGAGCAAGTTTCGAATTTGATCAGCCTCATAGTAGTAGCAGTGGTCGTGAACATTCGTATGGTCGTGGTGGTCAGGTGGAACCACCGATTTGTTGTGGTTGTGGACAACCTGGCCATTTTGCTCTAGATTGCCCGCACAACCCTTGGCGCTCGGGAAACTGAGTACGACTGGTGGTGTGGGACAACTCCCAGTCGTTCACGAGGAGCCATCAGATGGAGTACGTATCGAGGCTGTATCGTCTGTAGTCCCTACGCTAGATCTCCATGTTCAAGGCAAGTGTGTAACGGTGTTAATTGACTCTGCTTCCTGTGTTTCTATGTTGCATGAGCAAACATTTTTGTCCACGTATGGTGATGTGCCCTTGCAAGCTGCTCCCCGTTTGTGTGCGGCTAATGGTGAGGGACTCCAGGTTCTGGGTACTGTGGATATTGTATACTGCATTGGAGAGCGTTCATTCTTGCATACATTTGTAGTGTCTCCTGATATCCTACTTCTCAATCATGGTATTGGACCATCTCACTATAGCTAACTGCTGTAGTTGAGTAAAGCCTCCGTACTAAGAAATAGGAATGTTGTGTATCGCACACCTTTCTCCCATCAACCCCTACAGCACATCTGCGCTCTCCAGAGGGCCTCTCCATTGTTTGCAAAAGTGGCTGTAGTTTCAAGTAGTTCTGAGCGCAGGTTTTGAGTTGTACTGGGAAGTAGCATATAAACCAACCAAACCGATTTCGCTCGAAATTTGCAGGTATGTTCCCTTTGGGGTGTAAATCGATTGTGGAAAGTCCTTGAAAAAGTTTCTGAAGGGAACCTTGAAACTTGCATACCCCTCAAAAAAATGTTTTTGGACAATGCAACACAATTATTGTGGAAAGGTTACAACAATAAGAGACAAGATCAAAAGGAAAGCTTTACAATAATAATAATAATAATAATAATAAAACGTACGAAGTAGTGGTTGCGACTTCGGCGATGATTTGTAAGAAAGGGTTTGCTCCCCACACCGGAGCTCGCGCTATTTCGCCGACTTTACTTGACACTTGACTGACTCACGACTGCCATCCAGAGCACACGAGAAGTCCATCGAACCTTCGACTCGGCAAACCTGCAAGAAAGCACCGCTCCCTGCTCAATACACAGTGTTTCGGGGAATTAACCCCTCATCAGTTGAGCTTGAGTAGGCTGAGGAAGATTGTGCCTGAAGAGCTCTCCAGGCACAAACATCACCAGGGATACAAACTTACAGAGACGCTCCATTTCCAGCGCGACAAACACCTCGTGAACACCAGCTAGCAGCGTGAGTCAGTGTCGCTCCTGGATGGTGAGACCAGACGTTGAGGACCCTCGGTCATTCGCAACGCTGTCACCTCCAAACCAACTAGTCGCAAGCCCGCGCTGGGCACAACAGTACGAAGTAGTGGTTGCGACTTCGGCGATGATTTGTAAGAACCCTTTCTTACAAATCATCGTCTCTGTAAGTTTGGATCCCTGGTGATGTTTGTGCCTGGAGAGCACTATATAAGTGGTGCTCTTCAGGCACAATCTTCCTCAGCCTACTCAAGCTCAACTGATGAGGGGTGAATTCCCCGAAACACTGTGTATTGAGCAGGGAGATGTGCTTTCTTGCAGGTTTGCCGAGTCGAAGGTTCGATGGACTTCTCGTGTGCTCTGGATGGCAGTCGTGAGTCAGTCAAGTGTCAAGTAAAGTCGGCGGAATAGCGCGAGCTCCGGTGTGGGGAGCAAACCCTTTCTTAATAATAAAACGTAGCCTGTAAATTGTAAAAAGTCACTGAGTACAGTATCCATGTCCAGTATTTATAATAAAAATAATCTGCTGCAATTTATAGATTCTCACATGCGAGCAACCTGGGCCTCAGCAACAACCAGCTCAGCAGACTCCGGATGCCGAACCGATCGCTCACGGAAAAGACCCCGTGAACCCTGCAAACACATGATGTATGACCGCAACAGGGCAAATGAGAGACGGCCTCTGATAAAAGATATTACGTGGGAGTACTGCTCCTTCCTCCTTTCCGCTCTCAATAACGCGATTCGGCGATAGAGTGATGTCGCCGCTCTTCCCATGTCACCATTTGCCGACAACACAACAGGCATGAACGTCGCATGCTCCACCTCTCTCACTCTCTCTTCATAACATCGTCGCTTTTCTTTTTCATGGCGTGTGGTGCAGATCGATTTGAGCGTGCATGAGGATTGAAACCCCGTATACCAAGTAAAGTACGCTCAAAACGACTGCCCCACAAACCACTGACCGCTACATCAAGCCGCGCATGTTCCTCCACAATAGCAGACCTGTATCTCATTCTCTCTCCAGTGAGTGGCTGCAGCAGTGGCTCAATGGAGACATCGTGACAGGTCTCTTGAAGGAGAGAGGCTGTCACATCCCGGAGCTCATTATGGCAGATAATGGTAAACCCACCAAGGGGACATGACAAAAAATGGTCAATACCATTGTCCCGTCCACAAAAGCAATGAGTTGGTAACCTCGGCGGCATCCCACCATAACGGAGGCACAAGCCGTCCATGAACTCAGCTTTGCTCAGTGAAAAGCCATACCCCTCAAAAATGGCCGAATAATCTCACTATTTATGGGTCTACAAACGAGTCACGCCACAGCAAGTACAAACAAGCGATGAACAAAACTCTATCAAGCCAACATTGTCTCACCTTATAATCGAGTGTGACTTACAATCGAGTGTGACTTACAATCGATTGTGACTTACAATGGAGTGTGACTTACAATCGAGTGCGACTTACAATCGAGTGTGACTTACGATCGAGTGTGACTTACGATCGAGTGTGACTTACAATCGAGTGTGACTTACAATCGATCGTAAGTCAGTGTGACTTACAATCGAGTGTGACTTACGATCAGAGAAATATGGTATGCACCACAGACACATGTTTTCACTCCATCTTGGTGTTTTCTTGTCCAGACACCTGTAATCCAAGGTGTACGGGGGGACTGATGTGTGGTAACGGAACCACATGCCAATGTAAGACAGCGTATTTTACTATTCTACTTGTTAAACATCATGTGTGTGAATATTTTATGTGTGTGTGTGTGTGTACTACTCTCCCCTGTCTCGGGGGCGGCATGGCCAAGCATTTAGCAGCTTAACACCAGGCCAGGTGTGTGTCTCTGTGTGTGTGTGTGTGTGGGTGGGTGGGTGGGTGGGTGTGTGTGTGTCGACGCGTTTTCAGTGACTCCTCGATCGGCTGTATCTTGGCTCGTTCAAGGAGAGTGGTGTTGGAGATGTGCTCCTGCCATTGTGTTTCTCTGGGAATATCCAGCAGGAAGCGAACGCAGTGGTGATGAAAGGCTGCAAGCCGACGAACATCCACGGCCTTAGTTGCCCAGGTCTCACAACCATACAGCAGCGTCGACAAGACAACGGCCGAATATACGTGCACCTTCGTCTTGATGGAGAGATCGCGATTGGAAAAGACAGATGAGCGCAATGTGCCAAATGCTCGGGAAGCTTTCGCCAAGCAAGCCGAGATCTCAGCAGTCATCTGGCCCAAAAGTGGTGTAAATGCGTCGACACTGCTGGTTAGGCCATGTTGCTCGAATGGATGACTCCCGTATGCCAAAGTGTATCCTCTTCGGCGAACTGGACAAGACCCGGCCATGTCATGTGCCCCGGAAGCGGGGATGGAACAATGTTGTGTCCGACATGAAGGAGCGCCAGATAGTGGACTGGTACGACCTCGCCGAGGATAGCAGAGAGTGGAGATCAGCATGCAGCACCATTCCTCCGACCGAGCCTGTCACCTTACACTTCGTTTGCACTTGTGGAAAGCGCTATCGCCGTTGCCAGGACTTGACTCGCCAGGCTCGTGACTTGAACACTGTTGGTCCCTTCGGGATCTGCAATCATCTCCGAATGGGCATAATGTATTGTGTGTGTGTGCGTGTGTGTGTGTGTGTGTGTGTGTGTGAATGTGTGTGCATGCGTGCATGTGTGTGTGTGTGTGTTTGTTTTCCCAAATATAAGTCCTTGCGTGGCAGGGTGACCGGAATTAGCAATCCACCAGCGCGCATGTACCTGCAATGGGGTTTTCCCTTGGCCAACATAATAATTATATGATGCCTTCTGTTACCCTGCAAGTCGGTATGAGGCTGTTTCGGAGCATATGCATTACATTGAAACCTGTCTAAGGTGCCGGCTCAAGGGACCTTGCAAATGTGGTCCCCGTGTACAGGGGAGGGGGTCTTCTTTTCAAGGGTCATTGGACTGGAAATAACCTCCATTGGTCCTGGTTGTAGTGGTCTCCTGGGACAGGTGGTCGCCTTATCAAAGTGGTCGCCTTGACAGGTTTTGCTATACTTCCAGCTCTTGCTGTTATTGCTCTTTGCTCCTTCCTGTGCTGGCAATCAGAGCTGTTTGACAACCTTGGGGTGTTTCTGGTCGCCACTTCTTACCCTATCAATACTCTGAATCCATCGTTCTAGTGAAAGCAATCCCCAAAGGGAGAACTGTAAGCATCTTGGCTTGATGAGGCAGTGAGCCAAGTGCGCCCACATCTGCTCATAAATACAAGCTTACTGTGTGCTCGTATACTGTCAGTCTGTATCATGGCTGGGCAATTGTTGGCCGCCGTAGCTTTGCATCGGCCATACCAAACGCGTGCTGTAAGACTAGTAATGAGCATTTAATTCTAACGATTTAACGATTTGTCCTATCCTGTATCTACCTATCCTTTCACCCATTCCCGCCCCTATCTGTCGCCTACTACAGATGTTATGGTGCATACTCCCAACCGGACCAGCCTCCTCATGCAGCATAACGTAGTGCATTGGGAAGCGGAGGTGGAGTACTACGACCAGGTGGCAGGCGAGTGGTTTGAAACGCAAAACTTTACGGTCCGCCTCCACCACGATCCAATCCGCATTCTGATGAAGGTCGGACACAAGGGCACGTATTTCCGATCGCGCATCGATATATACGTCCCGAAGATCTACACAATTTCACTCACCTCCACCGGCACCCCACCAAGAGGTGAGACCCCGTCAGGCTGTACCCTAAAACTTGAGCTTGCCACTCCCATCAAGAGTACATAACCCCCAAGAGTGTGCAACTGCCTGCGCAACCTCTATAGGGTGCTGCGATGACAGAACTTCACTTCACTTGGCACGGTCCAAAACGTTACGCTGGCAAGCAGTGCAAAGTGACCACAAGCGAGTTGAACGCAAAGCAGGGTTGCGTACGACCCTGCATCTATCATGCACAGGGTACAAATGTGTGCGGGTTTCATCAGGTGATGTGAAGTTCTGCCGCCCGGACCCCATGGCTGGAGTTGCACATTATTGGGTGTTATGTACTCTTGCTCGAATTTAGAACTTTATCATCTCGCTAACAGCCTCTTTACTGTGAACACAGACTTTTAGGCATTCACCAGATTTTTCGACCAGGCTCAGCATCAGAGTGGAAAGGGTTTGTGAAATGGATAACTTCTAAGCGTGTAAGTGGCTGTGCTTGAGTTAACGGACAAGTCAAAAATCTGTAGCAATCCCTGTGATAATATACCTTTGTGTGGCGTCCAGTTTTTCCGGATGCTGAAAACTCAGGCTAACTTAGGGTGCGTTCTTATATTCTCTAGCTTCTAGAAGAAGAAGAAGAAAAGAGAAGTCGAAGAAACTGGATTACTCAAGAACGGGTCTCGAAGAATTCGGGGATATTTTGCACATGTCAAGCAAAATGAAGCGTCAAAGGGCCGCGATCTTGAGTGACGACATTTTGTTTGTATGTGTGCGTATGCGGAAAGGGAAATGCGTACACTCATGATGAACACGTGGCTTTTAGTGGTAGTCCGCATGCGCTGATCCCAAACCGCGGGAATCTCCAAGTTTCAACCAGCTTGGAGAGCTTTGGAGAGCCTCCTAAAAGTCGGAGAGGATATAAGAACAGCTCTCGAACTTTTCGGACAGTCTCCAACCTTTCCGAGGGGATTTAAGAACGCAACCTTAGTCTCAAGAGAACCATGCATTTTTATCATTTATTGTTGGCTGAACAAGGTTTCTTAATGGACTGGTCAAAAATTGTCATGATAGTTATTTCAGAAGTGTCATCCAGTGCTGCTCAATTATATCCGATTATGCAAGTCAATGTCATGCCGGGCGCTATGCAGACCAAGGTCGGGGAATATCGAGTTTTGTCCCCGTTTAGGGCGCAAACCGGACTGATGCAATCAGATTTAATTTTGAATGACTCGGATGGAGAGCCAAGGATGATTTTATGGGAAAGAAAAGGACGGGGGAACTACAAGTCATCAGTGGTGTTAGTGGACAGTATAGCGTAACTTGTAGTTCCTTGGTCCATTTCCTTTCCCATAGCATTTTTAAAGCAGTTTAAAAATGAGCACAACCCTGTTCACTGTAGGGATTCCTGTCGCGGTCTGTATTGGCTTTTTGATGTCCACAACATCACTTGCCTACAACGACCAACGTTGCATTGCACTAGGTGTACCTGAACTTGACATGTGTTGGAGTATAAGTGAGATCATGCAGAGTACAACCTGCGCTGACCGGACGCCATCGGTGCAGCGGAAACTGTCCTGATATGACAGGATTCCGCTTGATCCAGGGATGCACGTTCGATCCACAGCACTTTGGTGCACAGAAATTGTCCGGTCAAAACAGGATTCCGCTCGGTGCAGGGGCCTTGGGAAGACACATGAAACGTGATTTTTTAACAGACTAGTACTGTAATTATCATGGCACACAATATCATGGTTGGAAAAGCCACATGCTTTCCTGGAAATCCATTTCCTCACTAAAAATACACTTTACGCTTTTGCATTTGAATCTGCCGTATGTGCTAATTCAATGTTGTTTTGTCTCCTCCAAAAGAGAATGTGGTCGACCTTGCTTGTCATTTACGAGTGTTTGTGTCCAGGTGAATGCATGAGAGAAAGAGGGGCTGTTTGTGTTCGCATGAGTGTGTGTGCGTGTGTGAGTGTGTATGTGTGTGTGTGTGTGTGTGTGTGTGTGTGTGTGTGTGTGTGTGTGTGTGTGTGTGTGTGTGTGTGTGTGTGTGTGTGTGTGTGTGTGTGTGCTGCCGAATTGGTCCTTTCGCTATCATTGCCCACGGCAATGGGCAAGTTCAAGGTTCAAGGTGTGTGTGTGTGTGTGTGTGTGTGTGTGTGTGTGTGTGTGTGTGTGTGTGTGTGTGTGTGTGTGTGTGTGTGTGCATATGTCTGTTCGTGTGTGTGTGTGCATATGTCTGTTCGTGTGTGTGTGCATAGGTCTGTTCGTGTGTGTCCGTGTGTGTATGGGCAAGTGCGCACTGATAGTATGTGCTTGCATGTGATGTACACGTGTACGTACGTCAGCTCAGTAGGCACGCCTATCTGCACGAGCGGAAACTTGTAGCCACTCATGACGTACCAAATTCCGCGAATATAAGTGGCACCTTTTTACACTAAACTTCTTGGACGCAGAAGGGGGTGGCCTTATAATCAAGTATGACATCCTAGCAACGCGACTATTCCGAAACACATGGCCCACAAAAAGGGTAATATGACTTATAAAATGTCATGGGAAATATGGTACCGATAATCGTATCCCCAAAATCCGTACGCGATGATAATTCCTCTCATCATGATCTCGTCTCCTTTCCCTACAGGCTACCCTGTGTACACCTGGCCAATGTTCCCGTTTGCTGCATACGACACTAAACGAGCAGCGGTCACCCTGTCTTTGCCGACGGTTAACCCCACGGCCAAACTGAGCGTGCAGATTGGTCTATTAAAAGGCGCCAGCACGTCGATCACCACGTCCGCCAGCACCGTAACACTAACAAATGTCAGAACAACAGGGCCCTTCTATTTCCGCATGCTTAGTCTCGCATCGAAATACAGTTCCTCGTCTGCATATACTCAGAAAGTGTTCTTCCAGATCTCACGTAAGTTATCAGTTGGTGTCTGAGTTCTTTAAGGGAAGGTGAGGGGTGGGAGGAGGGTAGAGGGGAGGGGGGGGGGGGTGGGAGGCGATGTTCCGAGACCAAATCTATTGTCAACATTCTGCTGCGGGTTGCTTGTGTGTGTAGAATTATGGGTGCACGCAGCTTCGTTCTACCGCTCGAACTATGCTGCTGTGTTAGAGAGTGCTGTTGCTACATGCTCATGCTTTGCTTCTGCCTACGGTTGTGTGCACCACACGTCACGGTGACCATGTCGTCCAAACAACATGGTGCATGCACCCGTGGTACCCAACGTGGCAATCTACCTGACATTGAACATGACACTCAACGTGGCATTTATGCGTGGCGCTCGCCCTCGATGCGGGCGGCATGCAACAGGGCATTTAACCTGACATTTATTTTACCCTTTACCGTTTGGACGTACAGCGCTGGACTGGTTCACCGCAGAGAGCTGGGATTTTCCCTACTGATAGCCAAGATGTACGCGCAGAGGGTGCTGAATTTTTGTATGTGATGCAATATAAAAAGGACTTCTTGTGGACGCAGTATGAAACTCGGATGTTGAGATGCCGTGCTTCACATGCACACCCGTAATCCCTCATATTCCATCCATGGTTTTATCGTAATGTATTTGTTTGTATATGGAAGCACAGTCACGAATTCTAGCACACTGCGCTTACCTATTTCTGGCTTATGCTGAGAATAAATGCTTCCCATTTACCACAGTATGCACCTTCACGTAACTACAACCCATATGATATGCATATCGATTTTTTTGTCAGATCTGGATAAGAAAAACTCCTGATAAGACAAAAAAATTTGTTCAGTCACTTGAAATCGTCCTTACGAGGTTTGGCTGTACATGTATTGCCCTATGGTAAGAATAATGATGGGTTGCTATCTCCACTTACCCTGCCATCATGGCAACTTATAATTTTCTGTCTTTAACCCCCCCCCCGCTCCTTCACACACACACACACACACACACACACACACACACACACACACACACACACACACACACACACACACACACACACACACACACACACACACACACACAGTATGTGTGTTCGATTATCCGGTTCCCTTGCCTATCCTTTTTTTCTGGAAATCGGATTTGTGCGGTTATGTGAGGTCTGCCTGTAGTGATAAACGGATACTGTAAAACATGAAAATTTCGGTGCAACTTTAATTTCGGTGATTTCGATAGAGAAACCAGGCACCTAAATCTAAATTGTGTCGGAAGGCTACCCCGTCTTGCCAAAGCATTTTGGAAGTTGGACTAGTTTCGGCTCCACAATCCAGTGTGTCGTTACTATTATAGCTTTCATGGCTGAGTTTGTTGGTACGTCTGTTGGCCCTGGGTTCCCAGTACCCAGTTGCCAAGGCTGGTTGGTAAAATAACTCCAATTTCACTTCAAGGTACCAGTGCATCTAGTGTCTGCTTTGATCAAAGCAGCGTGCTGTCTATACTGGTTACCCCAGCAAGTGTAGGGTGTGCATAGGTAACTGTCTTGGCCGTCCTATTCCGATGTACTCCGTGTGGTGTAGACCAGGTGTGCATTGGGGGGTCGATTCACCTGGCTTCGCCAGTTGTGTGGATTAGACAGTAATCTGGCGCTTGTCTTGATCTGTTTCAATCAGAATCAGATACGCTATCGTTGCTATAAAGAGAAAATCTGTGGGTGCACATCCAGTGCATTTGCAGATTTGCGTGCTTCTCTTGCGACGGGCGTATACATGGTACATGGTGTGTGTGTGTGTGTGTGTGTGTGTGTATGTGTGTGTGTGTGCGTGTGCGTGTGCGTGTGCGTGTGGGTGTGGGTGTGAAAAGCCACAGCTAGAGGGAGAGGGAAAGAGAAAGAGAAAGAGAGAGACATAGACAGAGGAGGCAGAGACAGAGAAACAGAAAGACAGAGGGAGAGGTTGAGAGACAGAGAGAGACACACAGATACAGAGACAGAGCCAGATACAGAGACAGAGCCAGATACATAGATACAGAGCGAGAGATAGGATTCAGTGCTGACTTCACGAGAGCTTCCTTGAGGTTGAGCGGAGTACGTTCATGTACGACATTGACCGGGAATCCCATTAACCCGACTACAGGTCGTCCTTCGTTAATACATAATCTCTGGGACTTGACAAATGTTATGTATTAACGGGGTTTATGTACTAAACGAAAGTGTACATAACTTGCTTGTGTACTAGAATTTTTTCACTTTTTTCAACTTTTCTGAGTGTTTCTTGCTACCATGACTAGGGAGCGAGATATTCTTGATTCCCTCAATATAACATAAAAATTATGTTATAACGGTCACAGTCAGCGAAGATTCTACAGTTTACATGATAGCATGCCAGCCGCGCCTGTATAGTCACTCGAAAAAAACAGAGCTTTCTCGGCTTGTGATGTGCGCTCTGATTTCTGAGCTAATTGCGTCCACAAGTAGAAACCAGAACACAATGTGCCTCCACTGGAAGGCCAAAAAACCAACAAATTATGTATTATTGAGGTAGGTGGTCCGGAGAAATGTTATGTACTAACGGGGTTTATGTACTAACGAATTATGTACTAACCGACAAAATTTGTATGGAAGTGACCACGTTTCGTCCGGGACTTGAGATTTCTGATGTACTAACCAGCTTTATGTACTAACCGGACTCGTATTAACGGGGGACGACCTGTATTATGCCGAATGTCTTTTGAGGGAAATGATAGCGTTAGTTTAGCATCATATTTTTTCATTATCTTGTTGTTACTGTTCTAAACACCATCCGGCACTATTACTCATTCTACTTCCCCATGGCTAGATCTAGCTTCACTTTGCATTTCTGATTCTTTTTCCTGGTGCGTTTTTGTGGGATTGAAGCCGAGACCTTTGGTCGGTGGAGCCCCTGGCACCTCACCATCACTGCTGCCCAGTGCAGCCCCTACTCAGTTGCAGTTTGTTTTTGTCCACATAATTATTTATTTTACGAGTTCGGTGTGTAAATAATAGTAAAAAAAAATAATATTAATACAAGGCTCACATTGTTGGTTGATGTGGCAACTTTACTAATGAAGCTCTTCGATGATTGCCTCCGGATAGTTATTGTTTCACAGCAGATGCTTCGTCATACCGAGACTCTCATGGGCTTGTTCACATCAGGATCAATTCTTTTGAGCTCGGCACGAGACAACATAATTATTATAAAAGAAGAAGAGGTTGGTGTGACTTCAGCGATACTTGGGAAATTGTGTGTTGCTCCCTACGGGGCAGCTTGGGCTATTCCTGCCGACTTGAATTAACACTTGACTGACTCATGACTGCCATCCAGAGCAACCGAGACGTCCATCTACTCGGCAAACCTGCAAGAAAGCACCACTTTTAAAAGAACACCTTTCAATGCAGTGCATTCGCAGATTGTGCTTAGCAACTGTATACAGAGTTTGTCAGTTGATAAACGACATTTTCTTTCACAAGGCAATTGCGAGATATCCACAAATTTCTTAGTTGTTATGTCCTGTTTTCGAAAAAGAGTTAGGTTTAGAGCATAGGTGCAAACCGGGTCAAATCAAAGCTAGTTCTATGAGTCAGCCGTGGCCAATGATGACAGTTATGGACTATTGCTGTGTTTTTGTTGTTGTTGTTTTCTCCCATCTTTCAAAGATTTTGCTTAATGCCGCACTGTTGGAGGCGATGCAGCTTGAATTTGCAAGTAAGTACATGTTGTAGAAGCTTGGCCCTGCTTCTAGCATATCTCAGTAATATCTCATAAATGTACACAACCGACTCTATGTTGACACCCCTGCGCTGTACTTCCTACAGCAACTGTTAACCCTTTGAAGCCCAAGGAAAAGTATATTCGTCCCCAGTGATTTCCCAAGGACGAGTTTACTTGTCCCAACGCGCACTGTAAGCGCACTGAGCATGAATCACTGTTATATCTTTGTACCTCCGTTGCTATTTCTTTGATTTTCAACCAAGATAGCTTGTTAGAAAGCTGAGGAAAGAAGTGGAAACTCTATGAGGTGGTTGTACGGTTAACCCTGTGATACTATTAAGAAGAATTTCAATGATACAGACATCGTTCTTGGCTGTTGTCTTTGAACAACCATCACATGCAGAAAAAACAATCTCGAGTCGGGAAGAACTACCCCAACTACACTAAAGAGTGCGGGGCGCAGCTCGGAAAGGGAAGAAAGTGAGAAGGGGACATGGGGAAAGGAGAAGAGAGAGAAAGAGACAGGAAGACAGGGAGAAAGGGCGAGGAAGAGAAAGATGAGGGGCAAAGAGTTAACAAATTGCTTGTTTCACTCAGCCTGGAACACGAGTTCAAACAAAGTGTATAAGAGTACTTCTCCTGTCTGCACTCAAAAATGGGCCCAGGTGCCAGGCATAGGTCATGGAGCAAAAGTGCTTCTGGAAACATTGGCATGGTCGAAAGAACGGGAAAAATTAAAAACTGAAAACTCCTCCACACGAAGGCCCTCCACGCCGCGGCTGCTTCTGGTACTACTAGACTGGATTCGTAAGTCAGCCCGCCAGTCAAAACAAAAGAGGAAGATTGAGAAGATTGTGCCTGAAAAGAACCACTTATATACTGCTCTCTAGGCCAACCTATAACCAGAGATACAAACTTACAGAGAAACTTTGTTTCCAGCGCGACATTCTGGACGCCGAGAGCCGCCAACGCGTCTACAACGGCTTTGTGCGACCCACATTCGAGTATTGCCACTTAGTGTGGATGGGCTCACCCTCGTCCCATCTTAAGAAGCTGGACCAGATCCAGCGAAGGGCCCTCCACATCATCGGAGCAGGTACTTGGCTCCCTAGCCTGGCACTCCGTCGCCTGGTAGCTGCACTTGCCTATACCTACAAGCTCTGCTATCTAGATGCGTCCAGCCCTCTGAAACAGATGCTGCCTAAACCAGCCACTCACCGTGCCCCTGAGACAAGACCTACCCGTCAGTCTCTCCAGCTGCAGGATTCCCATCCATACCAGATGACAACTGGCCTGCCTGCCAACACCCGGAATAGCTGTCTCCAAGGATTCCCTGCTTGCACCGTTGCAACATGGAATGCCCTGCCACCAGACCTGTTCCACCACCCACCCGCCCAGCCCCACATGCAAAGCTTTAAGAAAAAGGTGTACCGTCACCTTCTTGCTCAGGACTGGCTCTCTGCTACTGATGCACTTTGAATCTGCTCGCCAACGCTTTCCCTGTTCTTATGAGTGTTCAGCTGCTTACCTTATAACCCTGCTGCCATCATCACCAATATTCTGATTCTCATGCACATATCCCAGAACCTGTTATCCTTCGCAGCCCCCATCACCAAGAGCACTGCGCTCTTCTATCTCCCAGCTCTCTCTATCTCTCTCTCTCTCTCTCTCTCTCTCTCTCTCTCTCTCTCTCGCTCGCTCTCTCTCTCGCTCGCTCTCTCTCTCTCTCTCTTCCTCTCTCTCTCTCCCTCTCTCTCTCTCTCTCTCGCTCTCTTTCGCTCTCTCTCTCGCTCTCTTTCGCTCTCTCTCTCGCTCTCTCTCGCTCTCTCTCGCTCTCTCTCTCTCCCCTCTCTCTCTCTCTCTCTCTCTCTCTCTCTCTCTTTCTCTCTCTCTCTCTCTCTCTCTCTCGCCCTCCGAGGCTCTCTCTCTCTCTCTCTCTCTCTCTCTCTCTCTCTCTCTCTCTCTCTCTCTCTCTCTCTCTCTCTCTCTCTCTCTCTCTCTCTCTCTCTCTCTCTCTCTCTCGCGCGCGCTCTCTTGCTCTCTTGCTCTCTCTCGCTCTCTCTCTCGCTCTCTCTTTCTCTCACTCTCTCTCTCTCTCTCTCTCTCTCTCTTTCTTCTCTTTTTCTTCCCCCCCCCATCTCCCGATAATTATTAGCCCCCGTTTTCTTTCGACGCGTTTGCTGTGCAGTGAAGCCGAGACCCTAGGTCGGTGGAGCACAACAGACCCCGTCACCACGTCCACGATTCATGCCTGCGATGCTGCACCGCTGCTTTGCATGTCATGATTGGAAGCTGTGGCCTTAGTAAAAAAAAAAAAAAAAAAAAAAAAAAAACACCTCGTGAAGTCCCAGGTAGCAACGTGAGTCGGAGTCGCTCATGGAGTTGTGCTAGACAGAGGTTTGTATAGTTTGTATCCCTGGTGATGGTTTGGCCTGGAGAGCAGTATATAAGTGGTGCTTTTCAGGCACAATCTTCTTCTTCAGCCTACTCAAGTTCAACTGATGAGGGGTGAACTCCCCGAAACACTGTGTATTGAGCAGGGAGTGGTGCTTTCTTTCAGCTTTGCCAAGCGGAAAGTGCGACATGCTCCTGGTGTGCTCCTGATTGCAGTCGTGAGTCAGTCAAGTGTCAAGTTAGTTTGGCAAGTAGCGTGTGCTTTTCGTTAGAGCAACCATCTTTATGAATAAATATTTTATTTCTTAAATAAAATATTTTTCTGGTGAAAAGCAGTGATTGAGTGTGAGCCAGTTTGCTCACAACCAATTTTTTTATTCGTTTTAGATACAATAATGTTCACATTATTGTACCATAAAATATCCTTCTTTTGTACTCCAACTCTCAAGGTGATGACTTTGCATCTGATGATTATCACATGAAAAGAACGTTGAAATCTTACAACTAGGGCTGAAACGATCGTAATTTTCCACCTATCGATTACTCTTAAAACTAGGGCTGAAACGATCGTGAATTTCCACCTATCGATTACTCTTAAAACTAGGGCTGAAACGATCGTGATTTTCCACCTATCGATTTCTCTTTAGCTTAAATCTCAGTTAATCGACTATAATCATTAACAAACAATGTCAAAATGTTCGCAAAAATTCCTCTGTTTCAACAAGCTATGAAGTTGGTTGTTCCAACTAGGAACACATGGTTATTGCCGAACTTGAAACTTGACTGACTCACGACTGCCATCCAGGGGCACACGACGAGCACGTCGCACCTTCCACTCGGCAAACCTGCGAGAAAGCACCACTCCCTGCTCAATACACAGTGTTCGGCCAATTCACCCATCATCAGTTGAGCCTGAATAGGCTGAGGAAGATTGTTCTTGAAGAGCACCAATTATATACTGCTCTCCAGGCCAAACCATCACCAGAGATACAAACTTATCGAGACACTTTGTTTCCAGCTCGACAAACACCTCGTGAAGCCCCAGGTAGCAGCGTGAGTCAGAGTCGCTCATGGAGTTGTGCCAAACAGAAGTTGAGAGCCAGTTAGCTATTCACAACGCTGTCACCTCCAACAACTAGTCGCATGTCCGTGTGAGGGGCAACAATACGAACTTAGAAGTTGCGACTTCGGCGGTATTAGTCATGAAGTTGGTTGTTCCAACTAGGAACACACGCCTCTTGCTGAACTTCGCGCTGGAAACAAAGTGTGTCTCTAAGTTTGTATCCTTGGTTATGGTTGGTCTGGAGAGTACTTTTCAGGCACAATCTTCCTCAGCCTACTCAAGCTCAACTGATGAGGCTGAATTCCCCGAAACACTGTGCATTGAGCAGGGAGTGGTGCTTTCTTGCAGGTTTGCCGAGTGGAAGCTGCGACGTGCTCCTCGTGTGCTCCTAGATGGCAGTCGTGAGTCAGTCAAGTGTCAAGTTCGGCAAGAAGAGTGTGTTCCTAGTTGGAACAACCAACTTCATGACTAATACCGGCGAAGTCGCAACTTCTAAGTTCAACAAGCTAATGATAAAGTTAACGTCATCATAATACCAAAAATTCAAAGGCTAGCTCCAGAACATGGCAGTTTTGAAGTCAATTGAACCTCGGAACAAGAACCCTACCCTGCCAATTGCATATTCACAGCGGAAACTGATTCAAAATTCACAAAAGAGGGTTTGTTAGTACTTTTTGGACTCAACATCCGTAATGAGTAATCCGTAGAGTAACGATTACTTGATTGTTAAGTCATTATCTATAGATTACCCTGTAATTGATATAATCCTTTCTTTCAGCCTTTCAAGTTAAAATAGTGTTCCATTGAGTCCGCTCAGTTAACTTTCATTGTTATAAGGTTTCTTGTCTCCACGCGGACCTTTTAAGTTCCTTACAGTTTGGCATTGTTCATGTAACGTTGTATGTTTGGATGGATGTTTGGATGGTGCCTTTGTTGCTGATCCACCACACCATCACTCAATGCACTCTACTGCATTGTTCACCCACCACTGACTTTATACTTCTGCGGCTCCTTTGCCACTTTTCTTCTGATTCGTGCTGTTTTGGTTCTGATACAGTGATCGTTTGACGTTTGAAGGCGACAAGGTGACAACAGTGTAATGAATACCATAAACAGAACCAGCTTCTACTATAAGCTGATCTGTTTAGTGCCATCTTTTTTCTAATTATATTTCTGCTTTTCTTGCTAGCGTCTTCTAAAATATATTCTTTGGTTTGTGCAAATAGTTGCAAAAGAAGTCCTAGATTATGGCTCCACCCTGTCACGATGAATCTCATATTCGCTCCGCATTTGTCAAGTTCAACACACTTTATTTGCAGAAAGAATCTGACTTTTCTATTTCGGTCGTCCCTACTTGCATCTTCTTCAGTATATACTTTGGTTTGTGCAATTTTTTTCCTCATTGCTACTGCCAAGAGTAAATAACTACTTTTCGGTATTAAAAAAAAGCCATGTGTGAGTAGAATCCGGGCGTAAAGATTGTTTGTTTAGGTCAGAGTGAATAACCTTTGCTGCACGTCATACCGCTTCACACGGTGAC